AAACTGTTCCCTGAAAAAAAAAAAAAAATCCAAATCCCTAATCACGAATTTATTTGTTTGTTCTTTAAAGGGGAAAGACGGTGGGGGAAAAACAGAAAGCTCGTGCGTGGCTGAGATGGGAAATAATCACAAGACGAATTCATCATCTGTCCAAATGGCACCCAGCTGCTAAGAGGAGTCACACTCTTACGGGGCTGCTGAGGAGAAAGCAAGGCGGGACGTCCCCAGGACGTGGTTCGGGGGGGAGTCAGACACAGGCTAGTCACACGAGTCGCTTAACTGTCCGTGGGCCCTGTGCCCCCGACTTCAAGGTTCAGCCGCTTCATCCTTCATGGCACCAAACCTTGATGTTAGGGATGCAAAGACACTCATAAGAATTGTGGGTTTGTCTTGACTCACACTTTGGGGGGACTGGGCTGAAATAACAAAACAAAACAGGGAGACCTTACCCGTAAGTGAAAGGGACTCTGTGTGAACTGTCAATCGAATCAACATGTGAAATACGGGAAGGGATTAGAGAGCCCGTCAGGGAGAGCAGGCCAAACGTGTATAGCAGGACTGAACTAAACGGTAAAGAGAACCAAATGGCTTGGGCCTCAGCAAAGAACAGAATGTGAGCGCACAGCCTGTCTCTGTGTAGAGGGGTTTCTGTGCTGTTGGCCAGGACTGGTTCCGCGGTGAGTTGCTGAGAACGGGGCACTGTGGTGGGGCTCAGCGTGTGCCCTGCAGAGTCAAGGACACCGCCTGCATGAAAGCACACACGTGGGAAACCCTGCGGTGACCTGGAGGTCACCCTGGGGCCATCGCACAGCACAGATGCCAGTGACCTCGTGGGGCCTCACCACGCTCAGTGGAGCATTTCTTGGTTCCTACGCTGTGTTACTGCCGTGTGGACGAGCTGGAGGGAAAGCCAAGTTCTTGCCTATGATTCAGTTTTGCCGTTTTCAGAAGACACCACTGGCCTTGGGTGAGGAGGGTGGTTACGGGACAAGTACTTCTATTTCCAACCTTTTTAAAAATAGAAGATGAAGTGGGGAGGCCAACGAAGTCTGCTTTTCCTTGGACAGAGACCCTTCCTCCCACTCCGATCCCCCTCTGACGGTTGCAACATAGCTCAGCCCAAGGAAAGGGGCGAAGACAAATGCGGGAAGCAATGCCAGAACCGGCTGTCGCCAGGGAAAACACTCCGATTCAGATCATTTGTTCTGTTCACGGCCAACGCTGCGATTCTCAATTAGCTAATTTTACCGAGTTGTAACCAAAAATAGCTACATCGGGCCCAGAGTTAGTGCACGAGGAAGAGTCGGGGGCTTCAAGTAAGAGAACAGGCCCCCTCGCCAGGTAGCGGTGTGTGTTTAAGACCACCTTGCGGAGCAAGGACACGGCTGGCTGGGGTTGTCAGACAGGGTCCAGCCCCTCCGCAGAGGCTGTGTGGGGCGAGAGGGGCGATCCGCATACTCTGGCAACGGAAAGTGTCCCACACATCGGGCTTGTGAAACTCAAGTTACTAATGACAGAAGTATCCGTGCTGGTGAGTCTCTCTGGGACCCAGACACTCCCCGGGTTCAGGTGGAATTAATTAAAACAGGCGTTTAGTTTGCAGCATTTCCAGCTCCCTCCCCGAAAGGCTCCACGCACATGAACCAGAACAGCCTGAGCAGCTGAGACGAGCTGGGCCAAAAGTGACTCCACCAGCCTCTGTCCTCCCTCCGTCTTTTTTTACATGGCAATAGAAAGATAGAAGAATCATGTTTTGTTTTGTTTGTTTTTTTTCCCTTTCTTTTCTTTTTTTTCTTTTTTATTAAAACAGAAGGTTCCTGGTTTCTGTATAGTTCGTGTGCTTTCATTACCTTTAAATTGGGTTAAAATAGAAGTGTACAGGCTCTTAAAAGTCAAGATTGTAACTTGCTAATGAAGTTGGGAATTATCCAGAAGAAAACTGCACAAGCACATGCCCAATGGTTCAGGTATGGTCTTGGTGAACTTGAGCCCCAACCCCCCGTTGCCCCCGCTCCCCAGGAGCAGGCGGGACACTGCCCATGCTGTCCTGTCACTTCCTGATTTCTGGTTTCAGACAAAAGAGGAGAAAGGGTCCTTAAAGAAAGCAAAGGATTGGGGTGTACAGGGTGGGGGGTGGGGGGGCGGTGCACGGAATCAAACTTCCTTCTTATAAAGCTAAGGGCTGTCTTCCTGGAGATGATGGATAATGGCATTTCAGCTTTTCAAAGTTTTTCATAGAAAAAATGTAGGCAAATCAGGGAGGGCAAAGAGAATATAAATAAATAGAACAAGGTGAAAATTCAACAAAAGCTTCCCTCAACGCCTTCCTTTCTTTCTTCCTTCCTTCCTTCCTTCCTTCCTTCCTTCCTTCCTTCCTTCCTTCCTTTCCTTTCCTCCCTCCCTCCCTCCCTCCCTCCCTCCCTCCCTCCCTCCCTCCCTCCCTCCCTCCCTCCCTCCCTCCTTTCTTTCTTTCTTTCTTTCTTTCTTTCTTTCTTTCTTTCTTTCTTTCTTTCTTTCATCTTTGTCTGTCTTTCTTTTCTCTCTCTCTCTCTCTCTCTCTCTCTTTTTTTTTTTTTTTTAAGTCTTAAACCCCATTTCTGGCTTGCATTTGGTAGGATTCCTGCTCTGGCTTTTATTAAAAACAGACTTTATGTGGTCAGAATTCTCCATGTTAAGCTAAACTTGACTAGGCATACGGATCCTGACAGAGTCGTTCTCGCTCTCTCTCAGGTACCCCCGCCAGGGATTTCCGTCCCAATGCCCCAAACTTGAGGGCTCAGCACAAAACACCTCCCCCCCTTTCCTCTTAGTACACTGTGAACTCTTTCTCCAAGGCCAGATCGAGCTAAGTCTGTCTCTAACTTGAGAATACTCTAGAAATTTTGAATAACACAACTGCTGTCCTATAAATTCTCAAACGCAGACACATGAAAGCTGGTGTCCCCTTCCTCTGGCTGGGAGAGAACGGCACAGGCACATGCAGATTCCTGCCGCCGCCTGTGAGCGAGCTCGGGAACACCCAGGCGACCCCACCCCATCAAACACACCCCTTAAACGTGGCACAGCATGTCTGAGGGGCACTGGCATGCTAGCTTCTCCGCAGCAGGGGCCAAGGCAACCAAACGTGCAGGCAAAGTCATGCATTTTCGTTGGGGGACAGGCAGCACCAGGTGGCTCTGGTTCCCTCTTGTAGCTCAACAGATAAGATGGCCTTCCCACTCCAGCCCTCAGTCCCCCTGTGGTCTCCATACCTTCCCGGCACAGCGACAGGCACTATTCCAGTCAATCTGACGTTCCCTACACTATGAATTTAGTCTGGCCTGCAGGAGGCTCGGTGCTGAGGTGGATGTTTTCTGACATGCACTGGACAAGCTAGTGGATGGATCCTGTGGGGCAGAGCTTGAAGAGGGCTCTCTGCTCCTCACCCCTGGCATTGGGGAAGCCCGGAGACAATTTAGTGGTCACACTGGGGGAGGGCAACTGACATCTGGTGGGAAGAGGCCAGGATGCTGCTTAACCTGTCAGCAGAGTCGAGGCTGAGAATCCCTTGCTGCTGCGGTTGGGGCCGCGGCTCTGCAGTCAGGCTGCTGGGGATCGGAGCCCAGCTCCTCAGGGCCTGGGGGAGCAGTCTGGGGCGAGTTGCTTAACCTCAGTGCCACGTCTGCAAAATGGTTAATAATCCATCTCGTTGGGCTTGTTGTGCTAAACCCAAATGTAATTGCAAAGCATTGAGGGCAGAGCCTAGGTCTATTGAGAACACATTGAACATTATTGTTATTCATGTGATTACTAGAAATTTAGTTCAGTTCCAATAAATAATAAGCTAACTCTATTGAGTGTAGAAAAAAAATAGGTTTGAGAGTGTTATATCCTCTTTGACTGGGATCAGAATGATGGTAATGGTAACATTACCATCAGAGCAGTTTCTCAGGCTTTCAAACACCTCGTCTCACACGAGGTGGGCAACAGCCTGCTGAATGTGTCCCTGTGTCCTAGGTGAGCATGTGCTGTTCAGAGTTCAGTGAGTTGCCCATGGTCTCTGGCAGAGCAAGTGTGACTCCACATCCCTACGATTCCTGCTCCAACAGCCTTTGTCTTCATTGCACCGGGCACCCTGAAGATCCCAATACATGTAATCACGGTCATCAGAGCGGGAGGGGACTCAGCTTTCCTGGGTGGGTGGAAATCACTTCTGTTCAATGTCTAGTCAAGTTTTCCTTCATGGAACAGAGAAATATTTTTCCTTTATGGAACATACAAATATTTTAATCCTCTGAATTGAATTTTTAAAAATCAACTTTCTATTGTATATGAGCTAATTTTCTTTCTTTTCAAAATGTGTTAAAAAATCTGCTTATAAATGCCAAAATGTCTAATTTAAATGTACAGTGTTCTGTCTCTTATATGATGGTGGTGGTGGTGGTGGAGGGGAATGAGTTCACATAGCAAGCATCATGCCTATGTAAAATTTCTACACTAGTTTACAATAATTACAGACTAATCAGTGGATTTTTATGCTGCCTACATTAATGTTAATAATATTGGGCTTAAGGGTCATAGTTCAGAGGGCAGAAGGATAATAACCCTTGAAGTCAGTGGTTTCTGAGAATTCCTTTGGTAACAGAGGTGAGGACTTAGCTGGTGATAGGTTCACGACCTTGGAGCACACAGCTTGCCTCAGCCCAGCCATGGCTCTTTCATTTCAAAGCTTTCCATTGCATTCTACAAACAGCTGCCATCATGTCAATCTTTCGGACCCAGTTTTCTTGGGGCCCCTTCAGCTTGTGCCAGCTGATTGAGGAGAGGTTTAGACCACATTTTGGTTTTTAAATGGTGTAAAAACTCCGCAATTTCCCAGGATTTCCCCTCCCAGGTGAAAAATGCAAACGTGTATGATACCATCTTTGCAATTTTCATTTTCAAGAAACTCTGGTCTGTTGTGCTACGAAAAGAGAACCAAAGAGCACCCGCACACCCTGTCTTCCGCGCAGAACACTTACCTGGGGACACTGGGAGGGGCCCTGGTGGGCCGGGAGGGGACCTGCGGAGGGGCTCCGTACGTGTCATTGCTGTTGGGGAAGGGCGGCAACGGGCCCGGCCGGAATGGAACTGGGGGAGCCCCCGAGTGGGGTCCCGGGGACGGGATGGCAGGAGGGGGCCCTCGGCCGGAACCAGGCCGGGCCAGGGGGGTGCTCAGTGTCGGCCTCCTTTGGGTGGTGGGGCTCGGAGGGGGCGACCTGGGAAAGAGACCGTCAGTTTACCACTCCTGCTTTCTCTCTGAATGCATCTTAAAAACACATTGTTTAACTTGCTGATGGTTTCTTAAAAATTATGTTTTGACTGAGAAACTCAGGTAAATGTTAGAGATGTTTATAGGTATAATAAGAAGGTGAAGAGCAGGGGAAGCTTCCCTCTCCTACCCCTTCACTCCACAGAGCCAGCCAATAGTAGTTTCTTTTTACCTATATTCTACAGTAGTTTCTCTCTATATATATAAATTAATTTTACTACATGCCGAAACCGGTTTGGCTCAGCGGTAGAGCATCAGTCTGCGGACTGAAAGGTCCTGGGGTTCGATTCCGGTCAGGGGCATGTACGCTGGTTGCGGGCACATCCCCGGTAGGGGGTGTGCAAGAGACAGCTGGTCGATGTTTCTATTTCATCGATGTTTCTAGCTCTCTCTCTCTCTCTCCCTTCCTCTCTGTAAAAATCAATAAAATATATTTAAAAAAATTTTACTTAAGCTTTACTGGAACTTGACTACCTTTTCATTTCAGTACTTACAGACTGGTCTTACTCTCTTTACTGGCTGTGCAACATTCCACTGTACTGATGCACTGTGCTTGTTTCTGACAGGAGCTGAGATGACCTAACCCTGTCTCTCACTGCTGAAGTTAAACATTTGTTCTTCTTTTTTTCTAAAGGGTTTTAGGGGAGCGCTCCCCGTAAATGGCGCTGCCGCAGCCTGGCTGGCCTCGGGGTGCGTGAGCCACCTTCCTACCTGCGAGTGTGCTGTATCCAGGAGTCGTCCACGGGCGGCGGGGCAGGGATGAACGTGGTGGCCGTGTTGATGTCGCCGATGATCACGAGGGCTTCTTTAAGGGCCTGGTACATGTGAAGCATTTCATCCCGGCGCTGGGCCTGCTCCGCGGACTCCTCCATCAGAGTGTTCTGGTCCTCCGAGGAGTACAACTGTGCTAGGAGCTCCGAGTTTATAAAATCCTTCACCTGTCGGGTCACCACAAAAAAAAGTAAGATGGGAATGAGTGAGTGGCCAGACAGTAGAAACTGGGCCAAAGCCTGAGGACAGAGTCTGCAAACGTCCACTCTGGGGAAAGGGCTGCCGTGTGCATCTGTCCATTCCTATTTTCTTCATCCTCCTCCCGATCCTCCTCCCAGAGGCCATTGACATGAAAGGAAAACACGACACAGATCCGTTGAAAAGAGGGCCAAACCCTGGCATCAGCAGAGAGGACCTGGTCTCTCAGGCTGAGAGGGCCTGCGTCTGGACCAGCTTCTGCACCATGGTCTGAGGCTGCTTGGCTTAGGGACGAGGGTAAGCAGCGGCATCTTCCACAAGAAACAATGATGTAAAGAAACCGATGTCCTAACACACGTTATCCATTCCTTAATATTCCCAGGCCTTGACCTGGGATGTGCTAACACACGTTATCCATTCCTTAATATTCCAGCTTTTATCAAAATCACCGGAACACTCTGAAGACCCTAGGTTTCAATGTGCTCCCGAAAGTGTAATTGACTTATTACATTAAGTCAATATTTGTTAAATAAGCACTTTATATATTTAGGAAAGTTAATGTGCAAAAAAAGTGATATGCTCTCTGCTTTCTAGAAGTTAACCATAGAAGCTACTTATCAATGATGAGGACTGGTACAAGGTTCCGGATACAAGGTTAACAGATAGATGTGAACAGAGTAAAGTATGGACACTTTACGGAAAACATGGCCCTGAGGGACAGAGAACCGACCACATCTTATCAAATCTAAGATACCATTGTTTTTATGACACACCACTAATAATCTGTGTTATTAAAAAAGAGAAAAATCACCACCAATTAAAACTGTGACAGAATGGCCCTAGCTGGTTTGGTTCTGTGGATAGAGCGTCGGCCTGCATACTGAATGGTCCTGGGTTCGATTCTGGTCAAGGGCACATGCCTGGGTTACGAGGTCGGTCCCCAATGTGGGGGATGCAGGAGGCAGCCGATCAACGATTCTCTCTCGTTCTTGATGTTTCTATTTCTCTCCTCCTTTCCTCTCTGAAATCAATAAAAACTATGACAGAATGCCAGATGCCACTGAATGTCACAGGTGTCTTCATGTCAGAAATATTAATTGTGGAAAAAGTGAAGGTGAGAATTGATGACATATATAATAGGTGCCTTTGCAAATTACCTGACTTGGTTCTCACCTCATACTTAGGAAATGTATTATTATCCCAATTTTGGAAAATGAAGAAACTGACATTTGGAGAACTTTAAGTGACTTTCCCAAAGCCACACATTAAGTCGAACCCCAAATCTGCTGACTTGACGTCTAGTGCTCTTTCCACGACCCCCTACACTTTGGGTGCTCAGAAAGAACCATAGATGCGTAAGCATCATTATTTTATAGTGGTGCAGCCTTATGCTAATTAACATAAGCCTAGAAAAATAAACACACTTGGATTGTTGGATTTCTCCATAAATGAGAATACTAACACTTATCTGGAGTCACTAAATTTCTCAAGGAAAGGCCAAAGGCCAGTGACTGTTGTTACAAATCAGAAAACTGGTCAGATACTCAGAATTCCTGGGTTGTAGTTATAGCATCTAATCACACAATTAATTCAACTAATTGGAAAATTCCATGAAAACACAGCTTCCCTGGGAAATAAAGAAATGTTCTCTGTACATGATTTGTCGACCAAGAGTGGTTCGAATGTGGACAAGATGCACTCAGACAAGAGCCTGGGAGAGCAGGTTTATGTGTGAGAGCTGGGGAAGGTAAATCTGGCCAGGTAACCCGGGGCCAGATGCAAAAACCTCTGATGCCAAGGAAAGCTGTTTGAACTTTATCCACTTGGCAAATGGGGAGCTGTGGAAGGCTCTTCTGTAAGTCAGTGAAACAATAAAAGAGAGCTTTAGGAAAATTAATGTGGCGGTGATGGGAGAAGAATTTGCAAATGGAGATAAATGTAGATGTCTGTGAGATGACAAGGGTTGAGTTTAGCAGGGTTGCAGTGGAATAGAAAAGATAGGCGTGTACAAATGACAGTGTAAAGGCAAAACCTACTGGACTAGTTTGGATGTGAAGGACAAGGAAGAAAGGAACAAAGACAGCTCCAGCTTTGAGGCTTGGGTGAGAAGGAGGAAGAGAAAAACCAGAAGTCAAGAAGGAAAAGTCAGATTTAGAGGAAAGACGGTCAACTGGGCTGAGAGATTTTTTTTTCACATGTAACCGAGGAATCAGGACATTTGCACAAATCTTCCACTGTTGGGTGTATGTGCACTTGGAGGGAGGGTGCAATTCCAAATTCAAAACCAGACGATTTTCCTGGCATTGGCCACCGGTCGGTTAAGCTCTTTGGAAGCTTTACATCTTCCTGGAGTATCACTTAGAATCTATTAAACACAATTTAAAAGACAGTCCTTCCAAGAACAGATTTAAAGCAGATCTGAATGAAGAAGCAACTGTCAAACAAACCACAAAATAAAATAGTCAGGGCCCGTCTCAGCATTCTGATCAAAGATCTGCCTTGCATCAATTCTTCCACACCAAAATGTTGCACACGGAGACTGGCCGACTCCCTGAAAGATTGGGCAGTGTTCTGGAATAATTTGAGAATTACGAGCATGAGAGAAAAGGGTAACTAACACGTGCAGTGGTTAGAGACCATGTGCTTTGGAGTCAGATGGCTCTGAATTTGAGTCTAACACTCACTGTTTTTGGGCAAAGAACCTCTGTGAGACTCAGGTTCCCTTCCTGAGGACAATGGTGGTAGCTGCCCAAAGAGCTGTGTGCGAGGATCCAGGGAAAGCATCAAAATACCAAATGCCCAGCACGATGCCCAGCATGTAGCCAGTGCTCCGCATACAGAAGCTACTCCTTCTACAGAAGACAGCTAAGCTGGCGCGGGCAGGTAGAGGCAGGAGAACAAAAGTTTTACTTTGCACTTATGCAACATTTTAGAAAAACCCCTCTCTTTCTCTGCTGCTAGTTGGTAGGGACGGGATTGGGAGGGAGTGCTTAGGGGAGTTTCCAGACACTTCGGGGACTTTCTGAGCGGTCTGAATGTCAACGGGACAAATACTGAAACCAACGGCTCTGCAGGGCAATTAGAGACCAAGGTCCGTTTTAGAGCAACGGCACGTAGAAAATATCCTCACAGAACGTGACAAACACGAATTCTGCTTGGTTGTGAGACGCAGAATAAGATTTATGCTTTTAATTATAACACCTTCGAACCTATACATCTTTGTATGGCTCACAAAAGAATTCTCACACACAAAACCTCATTCCAGTTCAAACTCCACGGGCTAAAAAAACAGGCACTACTGGTGCAAAGGAATGTAAGGTCATTAGCGATGTTCCATATGGTTCCTCTCTCTTGCTTTAACCCTTCTGTAGCAACCCGCGATATTTTTTGGATCTTAACCCTTCTTTGTCTTTAGCTCTGAGGTGGTTTTAAAGCCTCCGCAAACAGAAGAGACATTTCTAGAGTTTTCATCCAATGTAGTTACGAAGGAGACCGTTTCCTTAAAATCTCTGTGTTTCTAGACGGAAGGCCACCGTGTGGAGCACGGCGGGGGCTCTCGTTCACACAAAGACACATGAAAACTGACCAACAGTCTGAGGATGCATAGTCTGCAGAGGAACTTGGTTCACATTTTGTGAATCTTCGAGGTCTCACAATTCTCTCATTTCTCCGTCTGCCAGGGATTTAGTTTGGCTAAAGACCAACAATGTTTTCCTTGTTTAAAAAGTCACATCCTTTGGCTCACAAACACCATGTTGTGCTAAAAAACAACAACAACTAGACACTCAGTGGCTGTGAGGTTCTGTGCTATGAGATCCTAAAGTTTGAGAACAGACAGAACTATAAGATGCCAACAGCATCACCTCCGGTGAGGAGTGATGGGGGTCTGGGAGCAGGGGTGGGGGGCCTTCAGGGCCTGGCAGGGATCTCTTTCTGCAGAAGGATGCTGAATTAATTCTTGACCCCTGGAAGCAAATCCGTGTTCTGGTATTTAAGAGGCACTCTCCTCTCACATAATGAACATCTAAAATAACACTGCTCCATGGGCAGTGAAGTGACGGTCGGTTTTGAGACGAGGGCATGTGTTACTCATTTTCCACCTTAGTGCCAGTGGCCCAGGAGAGGGGCTGTAGCCTTCAGGGCCCAGGAGTACAGGACGCCGTCCACGGCCCATGGGTTAAAGGCCTCTAGATCCCATATTTGGTTCTTCAAAAGTTTCATAAAACCTTCACCTTCTACTTTGCATTATCTGGTCTGGTTGAAATCTGAGGAACGATGTTTTAAATTATTTAGATTTAAAATATTGTTTCTCATATTTCAACAAACCCTAATTAAATCTTCATGGCATATGGACCTCTGGGAAGAGACCCCGGGCATGTAAGCCATGGGGATAGGAGCCCCTTTCTTTGAAGAGGCTGACTTATGGTTTTCCTAACCTTGCCATATGCATTTTCTGTTATTGACCTGCAGAGACAATCCGACTGAATGAGAAGACCTGGGTTTTCATCTTGATTCGGCCAACTCCAGCTGCGCGGTCTGGAATGAGCCAACCTCTCAAAGCCTCAATCTCACCGTTTGTGATCCGGGCAGAATGGGAGTACCGGGCGTGTGGGTGTTTTGTGGGTTTGGTCCCAGCATCGTGTGCCCCTTTGCCACACACGTTTCTAGAACAAAGCTGGGCCCACATCTGTCATTCTCTGGCGGGAAACTTCTGGTGGGGGAGCCACAGAGAAGAGGCCGCCCAAACGCACTGGCCACGGGGTGCCACGTGTGCGTGAACTTCCAGTTCCTGAGCCAAACGCTGCTTTTTGACCGCAGCCCATCCAGAGCGACCGCCCGCCCGCCCGTCATAAATGTGCTATTTCTTTGTGTCGCTGTTACCTGGTATGTTTAAGCAATGAAACAGCTGCTACATTTCAATAGACAAAGGCTTACAGTATGTCTGAGGCGAGGCATTTATTGCTGGCTTTAAACTCCTTAAACAATTCCATATGGAGGCTTGAGTGGCAGAGCACTTAATGTAAACTTTCAAAGGAAACTGCCCACCAAACGCCGAGCCCTAGGAAATTTGGCTGAAACACGTTTCTTCTCAGGAGGCGGCGTGGCTGTGCCCATGTCGGAGGCCACAGCCACAGCCGCGTTCCGCAGGGACGGTCCCCGACGAGGGGACCCGGGGAGGCCACCGCGGGTTCTGCAGGACGTTTAGCCTTGCCGCCCGAAGCCATCCAGAGAAGCCGCAGGGCTGAGTGGATGGGATTGGGAATGAGGAGTTAGATAAAGTTCCTTTTCTAGTTGTGATTCTCTGGTTAATTCTCTTGCGTGAAGCTCTCTTCACTTCAAATCAAATAAAAACCCAACACACAGGTGCTGGGGACTCCCCATGTCTCTGCTCCTTGTGCTCAGCAGGGCACTCTGGAGTGAGCACAACGGGCTGAGATGCTGGCACCATACGATGCCGTGAGGGTCTGAGTCCATGTAGGAGAGGGTGTTTACAAGTTTTACATACATCAAATTATATGTGTAATTTAAAAAAATGTATAAAACTATGCCGAAACCGGTTTGGCTCAGTGGCAGAAAGGTCCCAGGTTTGATTCCGGTGAAGGGCAGGTACATTGGTTGTGGTCACATCCCCGGTAGGGGGTGTGCAAGAGGCAGCTGGTCAATGTTTCTCTCTCATCGATGTTTCTAGCTCTCTATCTCTCTCCCTTCCTCCTCTCTGTAAAATATCAATAAAATATATTTTTAAAAATGTATAAAACTATACTTATTTTTACAGATGTAGTAAGGAAGCGGGTAAAATGATACTTAAAGAAAAGCAGGTGTCCTAGCTATGAAAAACTTTCTTCGGACCGGTAGGAAATGTTGAATTTCAAACAACGGGAACCGTAATTTCCTAAGAATCCAGCATTCTGTGATCTTTGGACTTTTTCATGTTCCTGGGAGCCTCTGCTTCGAAATCGGACCTGGTGTCTTGGTGGAAGTGGACAACCCCTGACTCGTAGGTGAGGTCCCTCTCAGACACGGAGCTGAGCTCTCCCTCATGGCTGCTGCCTGGGGGGTGGGGTGCAGCCATTTCACTAGGGAAGCCAGGTCATCAGGGAGGAGCCAGCCAGGGCAATTACCCACATTTCTTTGTGTAGGTGCATGTGTGTTTTTCTTGAGGAGGTGAAAGTGGCATAGATTTGCAATAGGGTCTTTTTTTTTCTTTTTTCTTCCCTTTTAACTAATTTGTGTCCAGCTACTTCTTGTAGCTCTAGACAGGAAGCGCTATTTCCTGTGCCGATGATTGAATACAGTGCAGAGCAAAGCGGCGTTTGAACCGACAGCAGCCCTAATGACTCTCGGCAAAACAGTGAAAAGATAAATGATACTCAATCAGGGAAATGTTTAAATAAGCAAGGGCCTGGCTATACCATGGCAGAACAACCTGAACTCGCTCAAGCAAAGTTAAGAGGGCAATTTTAAAAATACACAGACTATTTGTTTAGTACTTTATATTTTTCAAAATGGCATATGGTCACATTCATTATGTTCTCTGACATGATGCCGTGAGGCAGCTTGGTGTTCTTACTGTGGGTTTAGAAGCGACTTCAACTCAGACGTGCAGAACGATTTGCATCCGGTCACACAGCGGGCTGCTGAACAAGCTTAAGAACACAATTCAGAGTTTCCAAGTTTTCCATATGCTGCTTACCCACCCCCGATACTTCAAAGCATCCCACTAACCTTGTTTGAACATGAGAAGTATGTGTGAAGATAGAGTTAAAAACAAGAGTGTTCACATGAGTGCTTGGGGCTTCTGACAGTCGAGGAACATATGCATGAACAACACATGAAGTGTCATATTTAGGAAAATGATTTTGAGAGGAGTCTTGAAATATGAATAAAGGCTATTAAAGTTCTTCAGTAGGCACCTATATTAGCTTATAATTAAACTAGAGGCCTGGTGCATGAAAATTCACGCACTGGAGGGGGGGGGGGTCCCTCAGCCCAGCCTGTCCCTTCTCACCGTCCAGGAGTCCTCAAGGGCGGGAAGCAACCCAGTGATCAGGGGAAGGAGATGCCCCATCACACCTCTGCTGCTGCAACTTGCCAACAGTGCAAGCCTCGGCTGGCCCTGGTTACCCGAGCCTCAGGCGGCCCTGGGCAGGCGAGGCAGCTGACACTGAGGCCTGCCTATGCCTCCAGCCAGCCCTGGGCGGCTGATGGGCTGAGAGGACTGGGGGACTCCAGAGGCAGGCACGTGGAGCAGCCAGATGCGCCTGCCGCCCTGGCAGGGCTGAGGGGACTTGGTGCCACCATCTTTGTGAGGGCGTGATGATCATTAGCATTTTCCCTCTTTATTAGATAGGATTTTTTTTTATATAGTACTTCCATATATATTATCTAATGGAATAAGTCCCTAAACCAGGTACATTTTATGAGCAGTGTTTTCCATATGGAGGAAACACCCACAGAAGTTCAGTGAGGTGTCTTAGGCCAACAGAGTCTTTAGCAGAACCAGGCTTAAGATCCAGGTCTCCCCTGGATTTTAGTGTGGGGCTCTTTTCAGTACTTTTCCAACTAGTACTGAAAAGAGCAAATGCTCATAATCGATCATTGGTTTAAATAAAAAGGTGTCCTTAGAGGATAAGTAGGAATAAAATAGTTGGTGTCACACTTTTGAAGAGTCAGGAAATCCTGCTATAAAATACCCCTTATAGCTTATCTTACCCAACTTGAGATATTACTTCTACTTGAACAAAGCAGCTACCAAAACAAGCAACCCGGACCATGTATTTTAAGTATCATAGCATGACCACTATAAAGACAACCATGAAGAGGGAGAGTCTAAACAATATGGGTCACCTGATGGCCAGTGTAGCAGGAAACGCTGGGACCTATGGCTGTTATCACCCTTACCTTAGACTGACTTTGTTTCCAAGGGGATAGGACACAAAGCCCTTTCCCAGGTGAAAATAGAATTCCATAGCAGGAGAAATCTGGATCCTAAACCTGGTTCTGCTTTAGGCTCTGTTGGCCTAACACAAATTATTGAACTTCTTTGCATCTGTTTCCTTCAGATGTAAAATACTAGTCATAAAAAAGTACCTGGCTTAGGTTCTTTTTAGCAGGTGATAATGATCATAGTAATGTATTATGTGTGTGTACGTGTGTATCTGAGAAAAAAGAATAAATATATTTTGCCTTTTATGTCAAAGTCAGGGCATCTGGTTTGATTGCTGGCTTTGACACTAATTTATATTCTAACCATAGCGATGCTCTGATTTCTTCAAGCAAATTCATAAGTCTTCTAGAGAAGACAGCCAATAGGGAACACCCCAGCACTATAGCTATAAGCTTCACATTTTCTTTCCTCAGTTCTCTTTCACTGGCCAGCCACTTACAACTTGTCATGGAAAATAATGAACCTGACAGTAGGTGTTTAAATCATCCGGAATATATCACAAGGAGACTCAAGAGAATGTGAGCCATGTCCACAGTAGTGGGAGGGTTTATAATCACTTACGTTATTGATCATCAGGTGCATTATTGTCTTTGGAATGAGATCTCGGATACATTTGTTGATGATGGACATGTAGGAGTCCACCAGGTTGCGAATGGTCTCCACCTGCCTCTCCAGTTGGGGGTCCAGGGAAAAGTTTTCTGCTTGGCCGTTCTCATCATTTTCAGTCTGTCAGAAAGGAAGGGAAGCATGGATTATTTCACATTCGTTCGGAAGAAAGAAAAACACCAGGCATAACAAGGTGATCAACTCCTGTTTACTGTACTTGTAGTTACATGAGGAGCTGGTAACATCTTTATTGCACAACCACTAATTCTAAAAAGAGATCAGAACCAGGCAGTTATGAGTCCTCTTGCAGTCTGTCACCGTCTAGAAGAAGCAAGTATTCCAATTCTGAATGAATGCTGAGATGAACAACCGGATAAACAGCGCACCTAACAGCATTTCCCTAGAGAGCAATCCAACCATAAGCCATTTGCAAGCTGGCCCAAGAACGGAATCCAAACATGCAGATGTAAACTTCTGGGAGGGGTCTCCAGGGGTTCTGTAGATTAGAACTAACCTTGGTGGTTTCAGGAACTGACTCTCAGGTCTCTCTGAGATGGATCAACATTTGGACCAGCCCAGATTTAAAACTAAATCTCCTAGGCCTGGCCTGGCCCCAAAGTAAGAGATATAGAGGATAATTCACTTTTCCATGCACTTGCTGGAATTCGTTATGTAAATTCATGCTTCTGTCATCACTACCAAAGGCTGGCTCCGCTGTGAAAAACGTACGATGTTAACTTCCAACTTGTTACTCTTTTGAGTAAAACTGGACACATCCATACTCAAAAGATTTTATTTGTGCAACAGGAGAGAGGCATCTGTTTTCTATACCGTGAGACTTGAGTTAATTAATTTTGGCTTCCCCACCAGAGGCTGGGCTGGAATGGCATCTTCATCATTAAACGCTGACCTATTGGCTTGGCATTGAAATCATTTTAGAACAAATGGTCTCCATTTCAAGTCAGGTTGAACCAGCTAAGCCCCAGAACATGATACAAATATTGTTAGTGGTCTGGCTGCTTTCTAGCATTTGGAAAGATTTAATCACAAATGCAAAAAAAAAAAAAAGGGGGGGGGGAAGGGATAATTTATTGCTTCCAATGTGAACATGAAATACTTCTCCTTGGATATGTACATACTTTGATCTGCCAGGCTTTCAATCATCCAATCCATTCTAGGAAAAGAACTGTGCTCAATGGCTTAAATGGGTTCATAAATGACAAGTTTTTCCTTTGAATCAATATGCATATGTGAAGGCCACAAAATCAACAACAAAGATATAAATTTGTTCTAATCATTTATACAGGCTTCCCTTGCTCAGAAATATCCAATACTTTTTAAAAATATTAAAATATTATGCGCTCAATCTAAAACACAGGCCATTCTCCAGTCTTGAGAGTATGACCCCATGCTTCAAGGACACTTCAAGGACATTTCTGAGTCATCTTACAGCTAATGCAGCAAGATAGGGGGTTGGAAGGTTGACAGTTGTTCCCCTATACTGCTTGTTTTTTTTTTTAAATGGTCTTTGGCTATTGAAATAATTAAATCAAGTATTATGTAGTTTTTCACTTATTAACTTGTGATATATAAGCATAATTGAATCTGGGACAAATAAGTGAAAAGTCCAGAAAATGGTAAAGAGACAAAGGAAAGGTCAGCCACGGCAATGAGAAAAGCCACTCATGTCCCCAAATTTCTTTCCAGGGCAAAAAAACCACAACATATGCGCTCCAGCATAAATTCTAAGAATCAGTGGCCGCTGCAGTGTGGTTCTGAGGGTTTTGAATTTGAAACTAAAAGCTTGAGGTTCAGATTCAGGCCTCTATCACCTCCTGGTTGTGTGGCTGCATTTCAGCGACTAGTACTTAATGTCACTGAAACTCAGCTGCCCGTCTTTAAAATAGGGATATGCTTCCCTAGCAAACTTTCGGAAGCTAAATGAGAACGAATATGCTGTGACCTAGCCAAAGGCATTGTGGGAGCTCAATATATAAATGTTAGTTTCCCTCTTTCATTTCTGAACAGTCATGGGATAAGAGAGAGCTGCTTGACTCTCAGCACACTGTATGAAAATTTAAGGTGAAAAATGTGAGTGTAAGACATTTTCAATTTAAGCAATATACAGATGGCAAACGATGTATGTTTTATGTAAGTTTTCTGTAAGCGAGGCCCTCGGGATCCCCTCCTCTCACCTGTGAAGACTTTTCATCTTTCAAAGCCCTGGTCCACCACCACTCCTTCTATAGATGAGCTCCCAAGGGCCCCCAGACCCCCCACCACTCCCCACAATATATTGTACTTCATCCGGGTCTTGTGCTCACTTTTATTACTTAGTATCCAGCCTAGTTTCATGCTTCCCCCATCAGTCTCTGGGGTCTTTTTTATCTCCCTTTCTCAGCACAGAACCCGATGCACAGGAGAAGGAGGAGAAGCAGGAGTTAAAACCACCAAGGGATTTGCCTAAAAGAAGGAAGTCGTCCAGTGCATTTCAGGGTATCCAAGGGTGACTGCTTGTTAGAGAAGACTGGAGACCAGAGAAATTCCAAGTTGATGAGTTTGGATCACCTACTACTTGATCATAGTAAGAATGATAAAATGATTATGAAATTGTGAATATAAATGAGAACAAATGACCTGCAGCTTTGTGAGGGAAACACCTATAACATAAAGCAAAGAAATGTTCATAATGGATACAATACCATGCATCTCTCTGAAACATAATGGAATTCTGCTGTTGTATTTGGCAGTAGGGGGTGACGGCATTTCAGTATTAACATACCACACCTCTCAGAAACGTTATTTTGCTCTAAGGACTGTGCTGAGCACTTTACATAAAAGACCCACAACCTCAGGAGGCAGTTACTACTTTGTCAACCTATAGAAGGACATATAGAGGCTCTGAGAGCTGATTTATTCAATAAAATTAAGATGAATGCAATGTTAACCCAAATTCTACTTTTCCTTATGTATAAAAAATTAAGAAGTATTATGAAACAGTGTAACATCCATAATATAACAAGTTGGTTTTGCAAATAAAATAATGCAAAATAAGTTTCTAGAAGATGTCACTGAAGTACTGACATTTGCAATACATAAATGACTGAATGAAAAGCAAAATAAATAGTATTTATTTTAAGAATCTCTAGGAATATGAACACCAGGAAAATTATGTCATCACCACATTTTCATAGTAGTACACTGGATTTCTCCATTTCACACTATTAGCATTCAGTCTTGCTTTATTTTTTTGCATACCAAAATAAGCAAAAGACCTTCACTTTTTAAAACTGGATGCAATTAAGCAAAGTGTAGTGTCAGAGTAAATGGAGAAAACCCTGAATAGTGTAAATCTCAACACTTAAAAAAGAAAAAGCATTCTAGAAAAACCAATGAAACCATTTGAAATTTTCTTAGGTTTTGGAAATACTAGCAGACATGCAGTCACATGCAAACCTTAAGTCTTCTGATAACAGCATGGGTATGGTGGGATTCGCAATTCAGAATGCAAGTTTAATCTCTTTTCTGGTTTTTAGAAAGAAAGGAGGAGCAATTGCCCCTTCCAATATGCCTAAGATGAATTCAAAAAATGTACATAGATGCAATTTTTCTTTTAAGTAAGTAATTGCAGACAGCAAACGCTTGCTTTTCTCAAACCCCAGTCAGTTCTAACCAAATCCTCTCTCGTGTTCTTTTCTGCATGTACACTGTGTATGACTGTATTTTTTTCTTTGTTTAAATTACAGGATTGCAATAGAATTCTCTGCAGTCTAAGCACTGAAATAACAGATGTTTAGCATTATCCTCATCAAGGGAATGTAAAATAAAAATAGTAATTTGTCTCTGATCTTTGAGGCAAAAAAGAACGGTCTGCAAACATTTAACCTTTTATGAGCAGGTTCATTGAAGCTGTTTACAAAATGTGAATAATATTGTGAAAATCATCTTTCTTCTGAAAAATACAATGTGTAGGCCTTCTTAGCCCCACAATAGCTTTTGAGAAGCCTAATGCAATTTAAACAATAGGACAATAACAACAGCCCTATAAACAAATGTGAAACTGCTTATAAAAATGGATATCTCTAACTTTCCTACAAAACTATTTGCACAGCCATTCAAAAGCAAGCTGGTTTACAAAATTTAGGTTTATAAGCTTTCTCCTAAAGTCTTAATATGTTAAGAGGTGAGAGAATGAAGTAGTCAAATTAGTAATACTTTCCAGCAAACCTCACAGCATCCATCGCAGCAGCTCTAGGCTTGACCAGGATGTGGTTTGCTTTGGTCACTTTCCTTAAATCTCTTAGTTCATTATGTCATAGGCATCTTTGAGGATCACGGAAACCAGTCAATAAGGCCGATGACTGCAACTCTTTAAAGATGGAATAATGGAAATCTGAAGTACCCTGGCACCAATATGCACATAAACCTACTGCAGAGCTAATGGGGGTTGTGGCATATCTCCTCACCAGTGGGCAGCATTGGTGGATCATCTACAAATTGATTTTCACAGTCAGCCGACACTTGCCCCCTTTTAAGCTCTCATTATCGTTATGCCATTTTTCACTACCTTAAAGAGTAAACACATCATTTAAATTTTTTTTTTTTTGTGGTGAATCAGGCCATTGTTATGAAAATACTGTTACCATGGTAAATGTAAGCGTCAACACTTGAAAAAGATGCTGCGTTCCAGAATAACCCAATGAAACCATTTGAGATTCTCCTTAGCTTTTGGAAATACTAGTAGATATGCGGTCATATGCAAACCTTAAGTCTTCTGATGACAGCATGGATATGATGGGGAGTCACAGAATTCATAACGCAAATTTAAACTTTTTTCTGATTTTTAGAAAGGAGTAATTGCCCCTTCAACTGTGTCTAAGATGAATGCAGAAAGTGTACATAGATGCAACGCAGCCTTGCATTTTGCAGCCTCACATAACAGACAACATTTCCCCCCTTCCCTCGAAAACCTTTCTTCACTCCCACCCCTGATGTCAGAGGCCAGAAAGGCAGGTGAGCAAACTTGGAAAAGAGCCACAGAAATCACCTAGAAGTGTTTCCATGGAAGACTGACAGGTATTTCATTCGATGAAACAGGCAGTATTTGTTCGGAGCCTCAG